TGTTATTGATCTTAACGAGAGGGAGAAGCACCGATTTGTTGTTCCACTTATTTATGCATTCATCACTTGATTCTTGTATGTGCCCTGAATTGAACCTGCAACCAAGGCATATGGGACGATGGATGCTCTAACCAACTGAGCTACCTGGCCAGGGCTACAGCTGGGGTTTTTCATCATGGAAGAGGGGTTTCAGGTGAAAGGTTTAGAAGTAAGGGGACAAAGGACAGAGCAGTATGCACAAAGAGCATGAGAGAGGCCAGGTGTCCAAGGAGGTTAATATTTGGGGTGATCACCAAGAAGGACATGAACTAGCAAGCCTCAACACTCAAAAAGGAATGGTGGCAATACCTCGCTTCATAATTGGGTTTTACCTGGAATAGAGTTTTCTTTCAAATCCTCTTCACAACTCTGTAATAAGACCTGCAGGTAGATTCCCGCACGGTGACACAGTGAGAAATCGACCCTTATGCTAATACTATACCCAGTGAGCTTAAGGAGGTGAACCGCGTTACTACAGGCTGCCCGACAACCCTTCTTTTTGGGAACTGTGTCTCCTCTACTTGGTGCAATTTTGAGAAGGCTGTTAAACAAGGGTCTCTGCCTTCCTTAACTGCTGGCCAGAGTACCCCATTATGTGGACACAGTAATTAGTCAGGAATGGTCACTGACCAAAGAGCTCTGGTCTTTAGTCTTTTCAGGGGATTTATACAGCTGCTGGGACAGCCTTTTCTCTGAGGTCATGAAAGTTGATATTACTACACCTAAAACTGTATATCCCCTACTTCATGGGTACTAAGAGCTCAAGATATGGAAATCCAGTCTGTGACTAGAAAATTAGTAGTTAAGGCCCCACCTCTGTGGTCCATACCCTATTTAAGTAAACAAAAACACAAGTCACAGACAGACATGGCAAAATATTTAATGTCTGTAGATGTGCCTCACCCTCCCCCAATTCCTGTTATGATTTGACAGCCTCCCCAAACTGGCAGTTCCAGAGAAATCATGGGCACTTATCCCCATCAGGGTTTGAAAACCATTAAGGCCTTAGTTCTCTTGACTTGGATATGACTGTAGGTGAGCTCTTTTCACAGCATGCCTCAGGCCTCTCTAATCAAGGAGGAAAGCCCCCCAGTTCTACAAGACTCCTGAGGTCTTCTGTTCTTCTGCAGCCTGGCGCCGGGAGCTGCGCCGCTGGAAATAGTGGTAGGCGCGGACGCTGCAGAGGTAGCCCCCATACACAGTGAGGAGCATCATGGAGGTGGAGAAGGTCTTGTAACCAATGTCAGCTAGTTGCTTGGCAGTTGGCATGTCGTCCCCTACAAAGACAGACTGAATTTAGATACCAGGATAGGCCTCATGTGCCCAGCCCACTTCCTTGTTTAAAGCCATTCCATAACTTCTACATCCTGCTTAGTCTATGTACTCTATTCTGAATGGCCCCTACACGTATGCAGAGTCTTATAGTGGAAGACAATATTTGGGAATTGTAAGATTTGTAAGAGCAAGTAAAATCTGCATGAGATACAGCTGGAACTAGGTGAATCTGAATGGCATCACCTTGCCCTCCAATGGTTTTGGAAAGAAGTGACTGGTATGGACCACCTAGAAATGTTAATTGGTACATTATTTTAAGCATGCATCTGTTTTTCTGGCTAGCAGACAATTAATGGAGGTAGCCAAGGATTAAACATTAGCAGTAAATTATTCTCCGTAGGAGATCAAATGAGAACCTTCTAAGCAATATCCAATTTATTTTCCCATAAAAACGATCTTATTCACAGTGGTTAGGTTCCCAGGTTAGCCCTAAGTATCTGTTTAAGCCATAATATTCCTGAAATAGTACCAACAGTACACTTATGTTATTTCAATTGTACTTAACCTTCTACAGCATTGATTCTAAGTTCCAAACACAACACCAAGTACCTATCCCAAGGGCTAAAAAAAAAACCCGAGTCCCTAGCAAACTGTTAAACTCACATTTGCCTGAGATAAATGACTTCTAATTTAACTGTTCCCTGGATATTCTGAGCTAGAGAACACGAGAAAGTCTAGCATGACAATCTCTCATCCTGAACAAAATGTTCCTCAATTTGGGACTGTGAATATGTTCTTAGACTCCTCTTTGTTGAAGGAATTGAAATTAAAAGACTGACTGAAATTAGTGAGAATATGTTTCTTAAAAGTCAAGGATTTGGAAGAAGCTCAGGATTAGCTGGCTTAGGGAGTCAGAACGAGGGTGAGATATAAGTGCTTTTCCGAGTGAGTCCTATGGGCTGAACATTTCCTTAGAACCAGTCTTTGCAGGTGGACCCCAAGCTGAGCTGAGGGATAGTTTCCTTGAATTGTAATTCCAAGTGACTTTAAATAAGGTCAGAGGAAGAAAACCAAATGGCACAGGCTCAAGATGAGGTTATCTGAGCTTTGAAAGGACCCCAAGCTGTGAGGCAGTGAAGAAAAAACACACACACAGAGCAGGATACTGAAGTAGTAAACAAGCTCCCAGCAAAGAGACTTCCAAACATTCAACCTCCCCCTCACTTCTTCTTTCCCTTCATATTCCCCATTACCCTGACCAGATGCTAACCAATCATAGGGCCACTTCTTTGAGGAGCTGAAGGAAGAAGGCTGGAAGCTTTCACTAGCCAAGAAACAGGATGGTACAGCTTGGCTAGAAGAATGTCAGAAGACAGTAGACATAATTTTGGCGTCTAGAACCCCACTTCCTTCTCCTGTCTAATCCAACCTAAGATTTCCCCTATTTTCAAATTTTAAAAAACTCTTCACATACCCTGAGCTAAGACAGGGCTGTAGAAGACAGATACGGAAGTTCAAACAAGATTTATTAACTGAACGGAATAAGTCACAGCTGAAAATATCTCCAAGTTAGGAAACGTTGTCGGTTGGGACACTTAATAGAAATAAGAAACAAGAAGAAACAGGTGTGTATACCAGGGTACTGGTGGCACTGTCAGTCAAGGTTATGAACTCAGTTTTGGACATCTTTAAGATGCTGAACACAACATTCAGGCGATGATGTCTATCAGGCAGATGGATATACAAATCTGGATAGAGCCTGGGAGAGATACAGATGGAGGTAACAAGTGACACCAAAGCAGAGGATAAGACCAGAGAGAGAGGCCAAGGGAAGCAAAATAATTAAGGAAAGAAAGCAGGTCGGAAATTCCAAAATTTTCTGGAGGGCTTTTTCATTTAACTACATCCCTCTTGCCAGTTGAAAGTCACTGCTGTATCAAGTCACTGCCACTGATGGAGGTGTACTGTATCTTCCAGGTGTGTTGCACAAGAATGAAAAAATGGGAACCACTACTGCAAAGGTATGTGCCACGAAGACTGGTCTCATCGAAATAGATGACTAGGTCACGGGTAAACCTTGAGTGAAAGCTAATTTAGTGCACTGAACTGGAAGAGGCACTAAGTAAAAAGCAAATTCTCAGCCAAGGCCCCAATTCTTAGCCTGACCCCTGACCCCCAAGGTCAGAGCTACTGGAGTCAGAGCGTGGAGGGCCGAGACCGCCCGGCTGCAGTCAAGGTCTGACAGGAACCTACAGCTGCAAGGAGCTGGTTGGGTTGGAAGCATGCAAACCGCAGCTTAGCGGTGCAGGATACGTGGGTGACTTCAAGGGCACGGAGGCCTGAAGACTGGGTCACGGGAGGATATGGGAGCATGCGGGAAGCAAAGGCCGGCCCAAACTTGCGCGCTGCGGCTCGCGCCAGCAGACGGCGTACCTGGAGGTGCGGCTCCCTCGCGCCCAAGCCAGCGTCTCGCCGCCACAGTCTGCGCAGCCTGATGCAGCACCTGAAACGTGAGGGTAGCGGCCCAGGTACAACCCTAGACGCTGAGGCGCTAGTGGTCAGGAAAGCCACCCTTTCTCCCTCCCACCCACTCTAATTACCCTCTAGGATCCGGCTCCCCACGCGAGAGAGTGCACCGCACGCCGGACGCAGTACAACTCCACCCACTGAGTGGCCGACCTTGAACTTCCGGCTTCCGGCCCAGTCACCCTTACTACGCATCCTCAGACGAGCCTTCCTTTCCGAGAGCCCGTTGAATTCCGGAGGTTGTAGTCGTTTTCCGTAGAGAGAGAGCCTTTGGTGACTCAAACTCTGGAACCGGAACTTTTAGGATGGATACTCAGGTACTATAGAAAAGGCGATCTTTCTCCCCGACTCAGCCGAGCCAATCCCCAGCCTACGGCGCGGTGACGTCTCCGGTAGCTAGGCAGATTCTCTCCGACTCAACCCTCCGGAGGTGGACCGCGCGCCCCCTAGAGCCTGGAGCTGCCCGCGGCCGGGCTTGGGTCAAGCTCAGGTAGGAAACCGACCTGCGCTGCGAGGCTTAGACCGCCGAGGAGGCAAATCTGGCCTTGGCCACGGCGTGGGCTCAGGGGATGTTTCTGTCTCGTGTGTGACCTCTCCGCACACAAGCGGCGTGATAAAGCCCCAAAGAAGCGCCGGGAAGGGGATGGGAGGAGGGTTCTACTTGGGGGAGGAGAACTTCGTGGGCACCAGGCTGGGGGCAGAGAGCGGCTGGGGTTATGGAGGAGGGCCTTTTCCCCCCCTTTTCCTACGGTATGAAAACGTATACATGCAGTGATACACCACAACATACGAACTGCCACATGCACTGAAGCGCCCTTCCCAACTCGTTTCTGGAAAATCCAGGCTTTATTGGATAGACAAATAGGCCTGATTTGAAGGCCTTAGATTCAGTTAACTGTGGAGTGAACAACAGTAGGCAAAAGTGTTTCACTAATAAGGTCGCAGTTGCTACTGAGGGAAGGGAGTTGTCCTTCTGCCCCCACTTTGACCTCCTGTATTCTGCCAGTGCCCCTAACTGGGCCCAGCCAGGTCTGGGGTGACCATGCACCTCACGCCGCTGCCTGATTGAGGCAGCTCTACCCTTCACTGGAAAGAAAGTGAATTCTCAAGAGCTGGAAGCTGGGAGGACCCTGCCTCCCTGGTTAGGCCGGGAATAAGGGAGGGTTAACATAATGCTGGCCAGAGCCATAGTGTGCCAAGTGCTGCCACATAGGAAGCTGAGACCCTTTGCTGGATGCTAGGAGCTCTTAGGCCCTCAGGGACTATTTATAGCCAGGAGCCTAGGCTGCTGACCTGTGACATTCCCCGCTGCCACCCTATCCTGGAGCTAGGCCAGTGCAAAGCACACTCCTCTCTCTCCTCCTCTTCCTGTTCTTCCCTTACCCTAGGGCAGCCAGTGTGCAGCAGCAGGCACACTGGTGCGCCGCAAGAATTTTTAAAACATTCAGTACCTGACTATTTAGTCAGGGGCACTGACCTCTTTTCCCTTAGACTGGCAAATAAAAAAATGACAGCAGTCAACACAATAGCTGTCTGGTGTGAATGAATCAAAAGTATACCTATTTTTTTTGTCAGATCGGCAAAAAATATATTTTCTGTTGTGCCACAGAATTTTAGTAATTAGTTTATGCATGCCATGGGATGAAAAAAGTTGAAAATCACTGCTTTAGGAGATAGGGTGGTTTTAACTTTTTTCCTCCTCCTTGAGTTGCCTAGCTCTTGAGGTGCTGATATATACTTTATGACAAGGCAGATGACAGGAGAGCTGGCCTTGGAATGTCAGGACCCACCAACATGGGGACATAGTCATCCTCCCCTGCCCCTGATCAGCCTTTAGGCCACTCTCTGGCCATCTGCCCTCTAAATGCAGGTGCTGGTAAGCTGCCCTGGCTGCTCTGGAGGCAGGTAATAAATAGGTACAGGGTTTGGGAGAAGAAAAGGGGTGGAGCCAAGGATGTTCTGGGGAGACAGCAGGAGGGACGCAGCTGAAACCTCCCCTGCCACTGGAGCTCCGGAGAAGGGAGGCAGGGCAAATCCAAAGGTCACTGGGAGCAGAGTGATCTGAGCCTGCTGTGAAAAGGTGTAGCTCTGTCAGCAGATTAAGTTCTTGCTCCCCAAAGAGGGTGCTGGCGGGAGAGTGAGAGAAGGCTTGGAAAGGTCACGCATAGTGGGGAGGAGCTGGCAAAGAACTAGGAACCAGGAAGTCCATGGGGAGAATGACAAGCCCCAGGGCCAGAGATGCCAGCATGGCAGCAACTCTGGTGCCAGGGCAGCCTGGGGGAGGGGAAAGGGAATAACCAGAGATTTCTGAGGACACAGATGTTGCTAGGAGAAGTTAGAAGGGGGTTGAGATCTTTGTATTTTGTTAACAAACACTGAGATCCATTGATGCTGTGCAGGGCCTGGCAGAGGTCAGACAAAGCAAAGGAGTCCCTATGTCAGCTCAAAAGCCCAGACCTCTCCCTGACAGCCCTTGCCTTATCCCTCATGTGGCTAAAATTGTTCTTTAGCCACTTAACTGGGATTGGGGACAGGATTCCTGTTCTGTGTGAAGCAGCAGCGGGCAGCCATTGCCTTACCTCTCTCTCCCTCCACCCTCTGCCCTACCACACACACCCAAGCTTCCCAGAGGACGGGAGAAAGCCCCACATCTGGAGATGTGGCAAGAAGCTGCAGGCTGCTTGGTGGTTCAGGGTCTCCAGACAGGTTGCTGGGCCCCACAGCCTCCTGTCCTCCGGTGAAAAACAGAGAAGAGGCTGCTCTGTGGGGAGTCCCAGAGATCCTGGTGGCCAGGTACACAAGCTTCTGTCTGTCTCCACTGGGGTAAAGAAGCTGCCTGGCCTGGGCCACAGCCCTGATCACAGATGTTCTGGATGATTCTGCAGGCACTGGATGAATTCACCCACTGGCTGGCTCTCATAGCATGTTCTGTACACAGCTACGAACAGAGGGAACCTAGAAGAGGGAAGGAGAGACCCAGTTCAAATTCCTTGTATGTCCTTTACTCTCTACTCCCCATCCCCTCCTAACCCTCCACTCTCCTACTCTCTCACCTTTGAGTTCAGGCAGACCCTGCCTCTCAATTTCCAGTCGCTAAGAATTTGAACTTCCTAGCTGTGAGTTTTAGGGTCAGGTTGTTCATTGCCTTGCTCCCTATCATATTGAACTTGCCAGCATGATTCCCTGGAATTGTTTTATTCCAGGTGGGCAAACCACTTGACCTCTGTGAGCCTCAGTATCATCAACTGATACCAAGCCATGGAGCCAACGTAACAAAGTAGTGAAGTGATTATGTATTCTATGAAGGAGCTCAATAAAGGCCAGTTTCCTTCACATCCTCGTGCCCAGGCTGCTTGCTTGACCAGCCATAAGCTGATCTTTTGAACCTGTTTCATACTCTTATACAAGGATTCTTTCTCAGCCAACAGAGCTCTGCTTTGGTCATCCATCACTCCCCTCTGCCTTTGTGCTCACACCTCAGCACCCAGTACAACATTCAGGGGCAGAGGGTTGGCTTCAGGAGAGCAGCTTAGACTGGGGATGATGGACAGAAAAGTGGGGCAATCAGGTGAGCTTATTCCTGCTGCCCCAGAGCCCTGGCCCCCATAGCAGGTGATGAGGAAAGGATTGAGGAAGGCTATGCAGAGGGGTTGAAGCACTGTGGTATAAAGATCACTAGACCAGAAGGAGTTCAGAACATGAACTCCTTGTTGGGGGGCAGTGGGCATACCAGACTCACTCTCTCTAAGCTCTGGTCTCTGTGTCTGTTAACAGAAGATTACATTTCCCTGTCTGCCCACTTCACAGATTGAGAAGGGTTCAGGAAGATAAAGAATGGGGAGAGCAGTTCTGGCTGTGGTTCCCTCCACCAGTGGGGCTGTGGTAGATACTTACTTATCCACCAGGCCCTTTTGTTTGAGGATGCTGTGTAGCTCCCGGGATGTCTGGGGCCCCTGCAGCTTCTGCCCATTCAGCATTTCTTTCTCCAGCTGCTCAATGGACTGTGAAGAAAACAGGAGGGGTGGATGGAAATGGGAGGATTGTCAGTGTGAGGTGGAGAGTCTAGGGCTCAAATAAGAGGTGGAAGGTCTTAGGAGGAAGGTTCGGAATGTTTACAACAAGCTTAATGTTTGTGCTCAAGAGACACCTCAAGCCAGTTTCCTCTACCTTGACACCTACAGACCCCACCCTCCATTCTGCATTCTCTAGGGGGCCTACCTTTCCTGTGCGGGCAAAGGCCTCAGCCACCTTGCGGTTCCGCCCTCCGTAGCAGGTAGTGATGAGGTCAGCGATACCACAGCTCTCCAAGAAGGTGGCAGAGGACACAGGGCCACTGCAGAAGAGCTTGGCGAAGGTGATCATTTCCATGAGCCCCAATCGGATCACCGCTGCCTTGGTGTTGTCTCCAAAGCCCAGCCCATCACAGAAGCCAGCCCCCACAGCCACTATATTCTTTGGAGAATGGAAGTCACAGTGAGAAAGGATCCCCTCCTGCAGGCCCCACTTGGTGCTTTCACCACCTGCCTTATGCTGCTTCCATCAGCTATGATACTCCCTCTGAATAAGTGAAGTATAGTGGGTGGCTCCTTGACTATTTCTACCTCTTGCTTTTCCCACTTGCTGTACTCCCTTCTTTTAGCCTGGGCTTATACATCCAAGCTCCCTAACTCTACTCCATACTCCATTCTGAGGACATTTACTGAAAACCAGTCTTCCATCCAGCTGGCCCTCCCATCTATGACTATTCCTGATATCCACAGTTCTGGCCATCAATCTGTCTGGGTGTCCTGGACATCTTGTCTCCCATTAGCTTGGGCTCTCCCCTGGGGCATCTCCTCTTCCTCCCTGGATGACCCCCTGGAGCCAGTGATAGGGATGTCCCACAAGAAGCTATAGGGAGAAAGGAAGAAGAGGGTCCAGCATCTGATGGTGAATAATCAGCAGGCCTAAATGACTTTGGCTTTGCTTCTTCAGTTCTTACTATGTATATGGGATTTGGTGGGGAACAGGAGCAACTACCTATGAGTGGGAGCCTGGAGTACCAGTAACCTTGTAGAGCTAAGAGAGGCCCTCTTTCAGGATCTCCTCCCCACCTCCTAGCTGCCTCTACACCCCTCTCACCTTTAAGGCCCCACAGATCTCTACTGTGTCCACCTCTTGCACCACCCTGATGCGGAAATTGGGTGTCTGCATCAGCTCTTTCAGAAGCTGTCCATGGGCCAGGTCCTTGCAGCCTAAAGTGGGGAGGGGCAAGGCTTTAGGGAGGGGACTCTTGGGTGTTCTTTGCACACTTGCCCTAAATAGGATGTGCAACCCTTTCCCTAGGGGTTCCCAACCCTCCTTCACCTCTGATGCTTGGGTCTTCTTCCTTTGCCTGCCTTATGGGGAGAAGATGGCTAGGCTAAGTGGAGTGGAGGAAGGGAGACTGGGGAAGCGATGCAACTGGAGCTGCTTTATGCATGTGGGTTGTGGTGGGGCTCTCACCAATGGTTGTCTCACAAAACTTCTCATCAGCCACCTCGTTGGCAATGTTGGCACCCATCAGCACATTCATGGAGATGCCCAGCTGCTCCCCAATTAGTTCAGAGATGAGCTTCAGCCCATTGGGGCCCTCGTCTATACCCTGGGCACAGGATGGAGCTCAGGCCAGGTGCCCTTTATGCCCAACTGAGGGCTTCCCACCCAGAAATCCTGCCCTTTCCAAATCTGCTGTTCATCAGTGTCCCTTCCCAAAGGTCCCGCCCCACTCCAACCCAGCCAAAGCTTTGTTAGGAAGGCAGATGGCATCTGAAAATTCTCCTTCCACATACCCTCAAATCAGCCTACCTCTCCAAGGCAATGTATCTCCTCCACATTCCTATATAACCTACTTCCAAGTTCCTTAAACCAGCTTCCCTCCTAGCCACTGCTCCAAACCAACTTCTCTTTCACATTCCTCAAACCAGCTTACTACTCATACCCCCCAGGCATCCCTTGTACATCTCCTAAACTCCCCAAAACATCTGCCTCCAAAACAATCTCGTCTACTCAACCAACCTCCCCTTCCCAGCGGCCCCCAGCATCTGTTTCTCATGCCTCCCCAGAGCTAACTTCTATCTAGAAAACTCTTGGCCTACTTTTGCCACTTTCTCTTCTTGTCACTTCAACCACCCTGAGCCCCACCACAGTTAGCTGAGCCTCCATGCACATGGTGTCCCTGGCACCTTAATAAGAGATATCCCGATGGCGTTTGCCTTCAGGTGGCCCTTGAGCTGATCACAGATCTTCTTGATGAACTGATGGGGCACCACAAAGACCAGGATGTCAGCATCCACTGCAGCCTGGACCACATTTGGGACAGCCACCTGTGGAGTGACCAATATTCATGGTCCTGACAGACTTCTAGCCTCTATGAAACCCCATTCAGGTGAGAAGATCGAAAAGCCAGAGAGTGAGGATTGTGAGGGGAAAGGAAGATCAGTTTGGGGACAGTCTGGAAGGGCTGAACTTGGAGGAAGTAGACACTCGATTCCATTCCCCTAGCCATCATTCCCTCTGCTCCAGCTTTCGTGGGCTTTCGACTCCTGGAAACCTCCTCCCAGCACCCTCCTAGCCTTTAGGAAGCCAAAGGAGGCCTGAGCTTGGCAGGAGGAAGAGGCCAAGTAATTTCATCACCCTGCTCCTTAGGGTCCTAACTGGGAAGGGAAAGCATCAGTTTTCCTTCTATCTTCTCTGGGAAGTGAGCCACATGGATTTGACCAAAGACCGTAAGTCCAAGGAGCAACATCCACGTTTGCTAATAACCCAGTGAATAAGTAACTGGATTAGAAGCTGAGGCAGGTACTACCTGAATCCCAGGTCTGGGAGCTAGAGATCCTGTCTTGGTTGCCACAGAAACCAACTTCCTTGTCTTGTCTTAAAAGCCTGGAAGGCCATAAATGGGGGTGGGGTGGGGAGGAAGCACATTCAGGTTCTCCTCATTTCCAGAAAGTACTCAGGGAAGCAGTCTGGGGGCTGTGCATAGGAGCGCCCAGTGCCTGGAGCTGTCTTCCTGAGACACTTACCAACTCCAGGTGGCACCTGAAATGGCTCCCCCTTAGCAGGAGGCACCCCTCCACTTCCCTCTCCCTTCCTGTAGGGTACTGGGGCTCACCACGTTGGGGGGAAGCTTGCGCCCTGGCAGGTATTTGATGTTTTCATGCTGTGTATTGATGATCTCTGTCAGCTTTCTGCCCCCGATGTCTTCCTCAAACACCCACATGGTCACCCGTGGGTCAAAGTGTGCCAGCCGGGCTGCATTGCCACCCACAATCTTGGCAATGGCTGAACCCCTGGTGGGAGGAGGAGCACAGAAAATGGAGGAGTGGAGGTATGAGGGAGGAGTGGTGAAAGGGGAGGGGTCATTGTCCCACCTCAGGATATCACAGCAGCCCACCAGATTATTTACTAGCCACCTTCCTTGTCCCCCCACCCCCAAACCCAAGCAGCTTTTCAAGCAGGGAGCATTCAAGGCTCCTTTTCTGTGGCAAACAGGTGCAGGTGCAGGGCCAGGCAGGGGCCAGGAGAGGTTTGGGCACCATCTGTCCTATGGGGTAGGCACAGAAGATAGCAGCAGGGGTAGAAGAGGAACCAGAGGGTATTTCCTACCCACTGTCTGCCTCCTGCCCACCTATGCCCCTGTGTACTTGGGGGAATCCCCCTTCTTCCCCACACCCTTTGATAGAGCCACTTACCAGTTTCCAGAGCCTAAAATGCAGACTTTCTTGCCCGTCATGGTGCCGCTTTTCTGCCTGAGCCAGCTGGTTCCACACTCCCCAGCTCCTCTCTCTCCACTAGGAGCATATAACTCCGCCACACGTGGGTGCAGCCAAGCTCCGCCCCCCAGGGGTGTGTGGGGAGGCGGGCGCCCAGGGAGACAGTCTGGCAGAGCCAGGGAGGGGGGAGAAAAGAGACAGGTGGGGAACAAGAATGGGGCACAGACCAGGCCCCACTTCTCTTAGGTTTGCCAACTGACTGTGTTGGCAGGCTTCTTCCCTTGGCCCCAGCCCAGTCCCCCTTACCCCCCTACAATGGTCTAATTTTGAGGTCTGCCAAGAAATAGCCCAGATAAGGAGCAAGTTACTGGCCCCCTCACTCCCTTCTGTCTCCCAGCACTGGAATACATTGTACGAGGCCTAGTAGCAGGTACAGGAATGCTTTCTTCCCAAGGTATATGCCTTGCATATCCTCCCAGGACTCCAAAAAGTGCTCTGCAGTTTTGTCCTCTAGCAGTGACAGGGTACACACCGCTGGTCCCATACTAGCTGCATTGCAGGGCTGTGGCTGAGTGCAGTGGGTGGGTGACGAACCACATTTATAGCTAAGACCACATAAGAGGTAAAGGCCTGCTTTGGGGACAGCCTAGCCCAAGGATAAGAAGAAACCCCAGGACCCTGACAGATGAGGTCATCTTAGTTACCCACAGTAGTCATCTCAGGGATTCACCAGTGGGTCTCTCCTCACCTCACAGTATCTCCAGCTGAATGTCTTCCAGGAAGGGAGGGTGGAAAAGGTCAAAGTAAGAGGCTCTGATGCCCACAAGTCTCCTTTTGCAGACTCTGGCCTCAAGGAAGGACAGGAGAGAAACGGCACTGAAGTGTTCACTGTCCTTGAGAGGCTTTCAGCATCCTTCAGTTCTTCCTTGGGGATTTAAACTACCACACTAGGGGCTCCCTCTGGTTAGTGGCTAGTTTGCAGAAGCCAGAAAGGGGAAAGGAGGCAGGATCAGGAGTAGCTGTGACCTCTGGAGCTTGGTGGTCTCAGATGCTGTAATTGAGAGTAAGTGGGGTGTGTGATTTTGGTGAGAAGGGAGAGAATGGAAGCAGCTTTCAGCAGCAGTTCTCTGAAATCGCCCACAGCCATCTGTTTCACTAAGGGGAGCTCTGGTTTCTAGGCTGATCTGAAGTGAGGCAAAGGGCCCTAACACTCCAGCCATCTGTGTACCCTGGCCTAGAGGGCACAGACCATTGTGTGCTCACACGCTGACCTCCTGGCCTGGCAGACTCCTAAGTGGGTGTTTCCAATCCCCAGGGCCACTGTTGGCCAGCAACAGTGATAAGCACTGGGCCAGAGGGGAGTCTGTGTGCAACCACTGGGTAAGGGTAAGTGGGCACGAGGTCAAGAGCAATGGTTTCCTAAGTTCTAAGGACTGCCCAGGAAAAGCCCCCCATATTCTCCTTCCATGACCAGAGTTCCCATTGGAGAGAACATACATGGAATCAGTAGTTGTTTCCCTTGGGAACAAAGTTGTACCTACTGCAGAGCCAGCCTCCCACAAATCACTGTAGTATTGCACTGGCAATGAGACAGGCACCAGTGCCAGGCTGTCAGCTGGGAGCACTGATTACGGGTAATGGAAGAGAAAGAATGCTTATGTCCCTAACACATGATGGGAACCCCAAAGAATGGCTATCTATGCATAAAATAACACCCTTGTTTTTCCCTGAATGCTTCCATCTCTTATGTTCCTACAATAATTTTAAAGTAGTGTGGAGACAATTTGTTCATTTATATAGGAATAAAGTGTGTGCTGAGGTCCAGAATTGGTTTATCATAGGAAGTTATTTGTACTGCTAGGCTCTTTTCCCAGAAGCAAACTGTAGATTATTTGCTTGAAATTAACAAGGGTTCATCAGTTATTCATTACACATGTAATTAGCCTGGGTAAAAACAGATGGTGTTTCCATGTCCTTGACATCAATTTTTCCACTCCTAGTTATCACCCACACTCCTCTCTCTGCTTTCCCTACTCAAGTCTGATAACCCTCCAAGTTCCAGATTGGGAAGAGGTTTTATCCTTGGTGGGTTTGATGTCCAACAGGCAATACTTGAGTGTTCCCATCTTCGGAGGCAAAGGATAATCTTTTAACTACAACTTTGGAATGTACTTGCACTCTATGTTCTAAACCCCCTTCTTGGCTAGAACCAAGCTAGATAATGGCACAGAGGAGGAGAGTAATGAGCCATCAGATGGGAGGCAAGCACATTATTTTGATGGAAACTGCTCTGCTAATGGGAATATCAATCTTGAGCAAAATCCTCCCAACTCTGCCAGTGAGGGATTTGTCTATAGTGTGAGAGTAACAACAGAGCAGGCACTTCCATGCTGGTCTTAAAAACGGAAATCTTACTTGGGGCCATGCAAGTGGCCTTAAAGAATGGCACGCACAGAGAACAAACAGACTTTAGCTGTGCAGGCCCTGTTCCAGATCTAGATTGTGGCAGTGAGAAGTGCACTTCCTTAGAGGAAGCTCAGGTTCATCAAGCCTAAGGGATCACAGGCACCCATGGGCAGTGCACTTGAGCCAGCACACTCCAGCCCTGGGAGCTCAAAAGGAAAAGGGAGAAGATGGAAGGGCCAGTCTAGTACCTTCCCAACAGGGGAGCTGTAGGCAGTAATGAAACCCAGTAATCCCACCAGCCTCTGGCCTGCCTGGACCACTGGGGCTGACAGTGAGCTCCAAGGTGAGGACCTGAGGTCCACAGGGTAGAAACCTCGTTTTCCACCATATCCCCAGCACTAGCACTGCCACGGGCACACAGCAGGTGCTCTATAAATAGTTGTCAAATAAAATGAATAAACACTATAAGCATGACTAAAGGCACTGGAGAGAAAAGCTCAGGGAAGAGCTCTCCCTCAGTAGGTAAGGGGACCCATCCTTCAGAAGATTCTTTTATTAAAACTGGGTGACATCGATAAGGGAACAGTACAAAAAAAATTTTGGTCCATGAAAAAAACATAATTCAGTTAATAAAAAGTTATCTTCAACAGGGACACTGTGTAGGAGTGCTGAGCTTCCTTCTCATGGTTCCAGCCCCAAGAACAGAGGTTGTCCAGTGTCACTGGGGAGACGCTTTCAGGAGAGAGGGTGGGATAATAGCAGGAAGAGGAAGATGGGGAGAATTCTGCTGTCCCGAGTGTGGAACAGGCAGGGATAACAAGCTGGGGGAATATGCTCGCAGGAGCCTGAGGAGGGGGTGGGGAAGCAGGGGCTTTGTCAGTTCTGTGGGTTTAGAGCCCATGCTGAACGGAATTCCCCCTCTGTGCCCAGCTGTCTCCCACCCTGCTGTGTTGAGTCTGCGAGCCTGGGATATGCTAACTTGGGGTGATACAGCCTGGAAGAATCTGAGGCTCTCGTGGAAAGATGCAAAACCATCTCAGTTCCAAGGGGCCAAGATCACAAGGTCCTGCTGCTACCTGAGGGGTCTGAAGCTTTGAGGGCAGGGGCTGGGGAGTCACAATCCTGTGAGGCAGGGAGAGGAAGGAGGCACAAACCCAACTCAGAGCTATTCTCCAGCCCTAGGCGCTTTCACTCAGAGCCCTAGAAGTCACCAGTGGGTGTCAACTGGGCAGATAAGAGACAGGAAGACAGGGTGGCCCAGGGCTTTTACCCGTTTGATTTTAGGCCTGTTTCTCCATGAAGTGATGGGGGGAGGCAGGGTGGAGTGAATGAAGCACACCTCCAAGTAACAACAGAAAGAAGCCTCCGCTAGCAATGACAGTACCCCAGGTTAGACCCCTGGGGCTCTGACAAGGAAAGGCAAGATTCCCCCATTCAAATACCCTGGGTTAGGACATGTAGGAGGAAATCCTAAAAAGAGCAGCTACAAGGAGTACGCTGGGAGGGAGCAATCGTTAAAGAACAAATTCCAATACTGATGTGGACCCCCTAGGAGGGAGTCAGAGAAGCACTGAGACAGCAGACCAATCCAGAGGCTGCAGAGTGACCTGGGGCTCAGTGGAGCCCAAGAGCCAGGGTTCCTTTAGTACTAGAGGGCAACAAGTGAAGGAAGTTTGTTCCAAACCTGTGGAGGGAAGGAAGGAAATTGGATTCTGTTATCAGGAGAGCCAAGATCAACTAGCTTATAGAGTGCCCCTAGGCCTGAGTCTTGGAGAAAGGAATGAGGCTCCCAACTCCTCAGTCTCTGAAGGGCAAGATCAGTGTTGCTGGTCCCCTTGAAGACCGCCTGGCCTTAGGCCCAATCCATTCAATGCACTGATTACCACTACAGGTTCTCTCTCTAATACTATCTAAAGGTCCTATGTAGACCAGGGGAGGGTAGAGGCACCTGGGAACTTTGTGGGGCAAAGGGAAGCTGGGGGGTGGGAAGAGATAGGGTGGGAGAAGAGGGTAATAGGTGTCTTGTAATACAGAAATGTGAGACCCTCTTCGTTCTGGTGTCGTCCTTGAACCAACAGCATCCCCTGGAAGGCCCCAAGCAAGACCAAGGCAGGTGCTATGAGGCAGGCAGCACGGGGCCCAAATAAAGAATTGGTGCAGCCAAATCAGGGCTGTGGGAGAGGCCCTATGTATTTCGGATTCCCAGGGCTTGTTCTAATTCTTGTCGTCTCTGCTGCACCTAAGGAGAAAACAGTGGAAGGAGTGGAAGATGAGGCAAACCAGGAGTAGACAGCTAATACCACTGACCCCAACCAGGGGTGCAGACCCCTTGCCTTTTGTCAGTTTACCCTGTGCAGCCCAGGCACCTACCTTGGAGTAGAAGTATCGGCACACGGCCTCCTGAGCCCAAGGCTGGAAGTAGAACTCAGCTCGGCGCTCTTCCTCTGGGTTACCCACCACATCTGTCATGGTCTGAGGGAGATGGCAGAGGGTAGAGAGAGGAGAATAGAATTGTTTCCTTCCTTCACACCTGTTATGGATTGAATTGTATTCCCCCAAAACATGTTGAAATCCTAGCCCGCCAGTACCTGTGAATGTGACTTTATTTGGAAATAGGGTCTCTGCAGATGATCAAGTTAAGATGGTCATTAGGGTGGGCCTAATCCAATTTAACTGGTATCCTTATAAAAAGGGGAAATTTGGACACAAAGACAGACATGTACAGAGGGAAGATGAAGTGAAGACAAATGGAGACCACCACCTGCAAACCAAGGAATGCCTGAGGCTACCACAAGTTAGGTGAGGCCTGGAAGAGACCCTCCCTCATAGCCCTCTGAAAGAACCAACCCCTGCCCTACAGACACCATCTTGATTTCAAACTTCTAGTCTCCAGAACTGTGAAACAATACATTTCTGTTTACACCACCAATCTGTGGTACTTTACTAAGCAGTCCTAGCAAACTACGAATTAATATAACACCCACAAGTCACCCCTGCTATCAGCAAGTCGTTGCCTGGTTCAGGGATCCCTTCTGGCACTCTTGGTCCCTTGCTCCTCTGCTCAGGGTAGATGGGAAATACGGAACATTCCACACATTCTCTGCTCACTCCTACTTTCTTGCCTGAGCCTCTGGTGCTCCCCTCTCTGGGAAATACCTCAACTACCAAATTCTTCATGAAACCTGCACCTTCTGAGCCTCATCAATCTCCCTTCTCCTCTGAATTCTCTTATTGATACTGGTGAGTTCCAATAATGTCTGATATGGTTTATTCCATTTTAAATCATAGACTAATTTTCCCACCAAATGCATGCTGCTTTGAAGCAGAGATCATTTTCCACTCTCCATCCCCTACAATATGTTGCAGTGACAGCAAAGTAAGTGCTAGATAAATACTTGATGGTTCTACGTCCATTTCCCTACTTAATCGTAAAACAGACCCTGGACCGTGCTAAAGATAATCTGGTCCCTCACTTCCCCCTCTGGCTGTATCACAGAAATAAAGTAAATATGTGCCTCATCAAACTATATCCCTTTGCCCCTTTCCTAGACATTTTTACCTTAAGGTCCCGGCACTGGGACTGAAGCCAATCATTAATGAAACCCTGAGGGTCTCTGGCAAAGCTCAGCATGAACTCCCTCTGGGTCTTCAGCTGATTGATAGTTTCTATTGTTTCATGGATCTGAAAGGAAGAAGGAAGCTCATAACATTTTCAAACTGGGGAAATGCAAAGTTAAATGGAAGGCAGTATGAACATCTCCCTCTGCCACTCCCAACTTGTACAGAATGCTGCCCAGAAATGGCACTACTGGCCAGAGCTCCAACTGCTCCAGCACTCAGCTTTCTTTTAGGAGGTAACTTGCAATGTAACTCTATACACCTAATGTGAGAAAAGTTTTCCTTTTAGTCTCCAATGTCCATTCTGGGGGATGTTACATGGTGAATACTTAATCCACAGCACACATGGGTCTAAAAACACTCGTGGGTAGAAAAGCAATATAGAGAGCTGTCTCAAAAGCCAGGGCCCATGGATTTTTTTTCTCTGCCCTCTTCTCAATCTCCATACTCTTCCTGGCTATTTCATCTACTTGCATGTCTTCCATTACCACTGACAGGGTAATGAGTCCCCAATCTGCAAACCATAGTCCATTTTCTAAACTCCAACCAATCTAACTACTTGCCATCTCCATACACCTTCAACTCTGTAAAACTAAATTCATTACCTTTCCCCCAACACTTGCTTCTCCTCCTGTTCCCAGTCTGAGTGAATTCTACTACCCACCCAAACTAGAAACCTGGGAGTCATCCTAATGCCTCCTTCTCCCTCACACCTCACCCCACCATCCCCATCTAAACAGAGTCCAGATCCCTTCAACCCCACTTGGACACATCTCTATTTTCATCTACTTATTTCCATCCTCACTGTCAGTACCCTAAGTTTAGGCCTTCCACATATTTCACATGCATTACTGCACCAGCCTCCTAACTGGACTTCCTGCCTCCAAATCTGCCCCTTAAAATCTGCTCTCCACCTTCCTGCAGGTGTTCCTTTGAAATGCAAACAGCATGAGCCCCTCCAGTCTTCAGGACAAAGTATTAACAGGTGTTCCCTGCACCAAAACTGCTTCATGATTAAGCTCTGCTTTCCTATGCCATTTCCTTTCTCAAAACATCCCATCCCAGGCACCCTGTGCTGTATCTAGCACACAAATGACTTGTACATCTTGAAAATACCAGGCTCATCTTTGGACCTTTACACACCCTGTTCTCTCTTTCTGGGATGTCCTCTGCCTCCCACACCCCTAAGCACCACTCTCCTTTCTCACCATCTGTTAACTCCCACTCTGTCCTTCAAGATTTATTTGGGGCATCAACTCTTCCAGGAAAGCCTCCCTGTTCTCTTTTTGGTTTTACTTGTAGGGACTACGTCTAATAATGTTAAAAATAACAATGAGATAATAACAATAGTAGCAGCAGTTATTTGTTTTACATGCCAACACAATGTCATGCCTCTACATGTGCTGGCTCATTTAATTCTCACAGCAAGCTTATAAATATAGCCTTTATTTCACAGACCAAAAACTGAGGCTCAAAGCTATTAAATGGTATAGCCAGAATCAGAACTCAAGTATGTCTGGCTCCAACCAGCACCACACACAGTGCCTGGCCTATACTGGTGCAGTATATTTTGAAGGAATACCAAGAATCAAAAGGCAGACTAGAAGCCATGATAGAGGGCTGGCAGCACCCAAACTATCTAGGACAGAGGCACTTACCTTGTTGTCTAGAGTAGCAATCTCCTGCTGGCTGGCAGTAGACAGTAGAAAAGAATTCATCTGTGTCTTCAAGGTATCATCCACTTCCACATCAATGTCATAACAAGCCGTCTTTTTCTGATCATTTGGGTCAACACTGGGGAGGAAATCAAAGGGACCTGGTAAAGGGCTTGTCC